TTTTACCTTTAATACATAAGTGCATTAAAAATCTAATACTTTTGTACTTTATACTTTTACTGGAGTAATATTTTATTGGGGTATCTGCACTTTTACTCAAGTACTTGATATGTGTACTTCATCCACCACTGGTTGAGTGTCCCCGAGCAACACACAAAAGAGCTGAACCCAAATAAATCTGTATAGAATAAATCCTGTTTATGAATAAATTGGTTGAATAAATAATTCAACGACTCACTCATAAACAGTCACTTGTTTTATTTCTGAATGAATCATATGGTTTAAACAAATCTGTCGAGTGAATGATTCTTTGACATCCTCATAAACATTCTAACTGTCAGTATCGGTGTATCAGGAGGAGGCCTTTATATACAGTATACAGAGAGAGTGTGAGATGGACACAGAGACAGAGGCAAAGAGAAACTCACACTCTCACTGGTGTCCAGAAGTTTTCTGAGAAGTGTTTGCCAGGCTCCATCTGTTTTTGGTGTACAGAGGCGGTCAGTGATAGAAAACGGCTCTAACAGTGTGAAATCTCTGTCAGTACACTGCAGCCTCACTGACAATCTGCTATCTGCTTTCACTGCATGTGTGAGAGTATGTGCATATGTATATAACACTCACACACACACACACACACAAACACACACACACTTGTCAACAGTGACGATTCATTATTGATGACACCTCCAGAAACCAACACCTGCTGGATATTGTGCATTCAATTAAGCAATAAGCACAAACTTTTTTTTAAGGCTTCATTTCTGTCTTTTTTTTTTGCTCTTGAATTTCTAGGTTGAAATCTGATGTATTAGCTTGTGATCGCCTTTGATGTGGGATTTCCTAAAAATATGAGGTGAAGAAAGCCTTTTAAAGTTTTTCTGACACAGTGAATACGTCACATTGTGAGACGTGCAGGATCTTAATGAGAGCCAATCATGATTTTTATGCGAACAAACTAACTAAAGAAGAAAACACTGCAGTGATTCTCCAACAGACAGCTCCAAATCTGCCTGTAGAGCAGTTCACAGCAGGCCTCTGATCTCTGATGATAGACAAGACTGTCAAAATATGTTGGGTAGGTGCAGTAACGCTAAAGGAAAGAAGAGGAGGACATTTAATGAAATAATTAATGTTAATTCTCCTCAGTGGTACTGACTGGAGCACTGAACTCAAAGTTTACTTTAAACGACTTCCTTTTCCAATACCTTTTTTTTCTAGCTTTAGCTGATTATGCTCAGCTAAGGAAAAAACTAAAGCTGACTTGTCTGTCTTACTCCCTTTGTTAAAATTATATTCCTCAAGTGATACTACAATTGTGACACTCGAGAATCCATTGTACATCTTGGCACTAGCTCTCAAAGGATTTTACAAATATGCCACTAATTTGTACCCGACCTTGTCAGGATATAAACAAGCTTATCGACTTGCCACGGTATAAGGATTTAGCTCATTCACTGTCGCAGTATTTGTCTTGTTGTGTGATTTTTCCATTCTAAACACTAAACAAACATCCTGTGGACTGTAAGAAATGAATATAATTAACCTTGCTCTTATATTTCCTGAGGAAAATGACAACTATTTGATAAAACAAGCACATCAACACATACATAGAGTACCTACATGATCATTTAAAGTACTGTTTTCATTCTTTATATACTTGTATATTTATGAAAAAATAAGCAGAATCAAATCTTTAGCATTGTACAACCAGTTTACTTAACGTGTTGTTCAAACATTTTTTTACACAAAATTAGATGTATTAATATAAAAATATAATCCAGTATTTTCCAGTGAGACAAACTAAATTATACTATAAATTTATACATTTATACATTTTACTCCTTAATCATGTATTATTTTTCTACATTATTCTACATTATTTTGTACATATATTTTCACCTATTTTATTTATACAAACACTTATTTCTACATTTAAAGAAATATAAATTAAATAAATTTGTATGTAAAAAAGAGGAAATAAATATGAAATAAATCAATTAAATAATTCACAAATAGTAAAGTATAAGTATGGTATAAGTGTCATTAGAAAATGCCTCATTAGAGCATGCAATGCATTTCTATCTACACTTTTTGACTTGTTTGTTTGTTTGTTTAAAAAGATTGTTTATTTATTTCTCCATAATATTATAAGAGAGTTATATTAGGTATATTAGGCTGCTGTCACTTTAAGACCTCGTGCATGGATCCAATATATTGATATATATCCATTTTTAACTGTTTACATTTACTGTACTTAGAATATATCCGAATGTGTTTATATGAATTCTCACCAAAACAGATACATTTTTGTGCACTTGACCATTCAAGCAAAATAAGCCACAAAAGAGAACTAGTTCTAGTCTAGT